TGTGGTCTATTTTACAAAGAAATTTTGAATGGATTCAGTAATTGCCATTGATAGGCTTCATTTAACCTAAAGCTAGCTTAAAAATTAATTCAACAAATCTTTTTTAAATTCTGTTAAAAACAGATATACTTTTAAACAGGCTGACAAAACAGAAAATAAAACATCTCTTCTTTGACAATTCAAAACAAACAAAAACTACTGGAATGGTTTTAAATTCCCCAAATCTCTGTACAGAAAGAGCAACCGTTAAGTTCCCTTCATATTTATAAATGCCATTGGATCATTACCCAAAGAAGAAAGCTCCATGTACCCTCTAATCAATACAGGATATCTGAATCACCCAAATGTATCTTGACGTTCATTATTCTATACAAACAACAATCACAGTTAAAATTACCACATTTTTTTCTAAAGGTCTATCCACAATGCCTTAAAAATCATTGGGGGGGGGGAGATAATTACTAAACTTTTTTCCTTTATTTCTTAATTACTTCACCCTTGAGTTGATAAATTATACTAGTAGTACTTTTTGAAATTTTAAAGTGGCCTTTTTTAACTGCAGCTGCCATGTTCAGATAGTTGAACATACTATAAATACTTGTATCTGAAATAAAAATATTTCTCTAAAAAAAAAATCCTTCAACACCATGTATAAAGCTATAATTGGGATCTTTACCACTACTACTAAATTTCTGATGACAGCAAACCCAAACCTTTACACAATACATAATTCATGCCAGTCAGTTATTATTCACAGAATCTTACAAAATCAGAGTTATTATTAGCCCTTTTTACAGATTGGGAAACAGACTCACCCATAACAATCATATAAAACACCAACTCTTCCTTTATGTTCAGACCACTTTGCAATTATTCAAGAGTACTAGGAATATTTGCTTCATATAACACTTTTTCTAAGTGTCTCAAATTTTAAAAGCTGATATTGAGTATCAACATAATTATTGTATGTATAAGTAAAAAATGAAGGCTGCCTCTTCACAAAGGGAATATACTATTCCCTTCACATTTAAATTTCATTAAAATGATTTTGAGATTCTAAAGCCCGATTTTAAAACTACCAAGCAAGCTTAGTGTTTCACTGACACTATTAAAAAAGGAAATGGTAACTCTACTACACACATTTACCTCATTATATGTTCCCTCCCCAACCCAAAATTACACTGGTGAAGTCTTAAACAGACCTTAATGTGAAATTTCTGATTCAAAAAGTTTAAATATGGCATCTATTTTTCTCCTAAAACTTGCCTCATACGTTTTATACCATACCTTTCACATTAATCAGCATACTCTAAAGATGACACACACTTGAATAAATCCTATTCACGGTTCCAATTCATCTCTGACCTTGAGACCACCAGTACTTTATGAAAACTAGTACTTAACCCACGATGGAAACATAACAATTATACAGAATTGAAGAGGTATCCTACAATGTGGTTAGTAGCTCAGAAATCTTCATCTTGGCAACTACAGATGATATTATATCCAAAGAATGGCACCATGAAAAGCATTTACATACTTTTCTAATCTGCCAGGTTTCTCTAGATCTACTTTTCTGCATTTTGAAAAATTTAACTACAATAATGAAACAGTTGAGGGCTATTTCAAATTCAAAATCACAGAGATTTAGTTTTAAAAAAACTGTCAACAGAGCTCACTTTAAGACTACAACCCACAACCCCCGGTTCCCAATCCTTTCACTCCAACAGAAAAATTTCTAGTAAAGTAGAACTACTTTAAGTAAATGCCACTATGAAAAAATAAAGCAACAACTTTATTATTTTGAAGATTAGCTAAACATGAACCTGGTTCTAAAAAAGTGCCTTTGGAAAATATAATCAAAGGATCCCAAATTTGATAAAAACACTTTAAGATTCTTTTCTCACAAATAAGTAATCATCACTAAAGTGACAATTAGAAAGCAGACTTAATAACTAGTTCCAAAATCACACCAAGAAATGACAGTTTTCCTTTTTTGCAAGAGCTGGTTTTTTTCCTTATTCTACAAAAATAATTCTGATAAAAACTTGAAAAAGGAAAGTGTCCTGCTTTAATCTCATATTTACATAAATATAAAATCTGTATATATATACCATAGAGTGAAAAACAATGATTTCCTATCAAATTTAACTTTGTTAAAAATGTTTAAAATCTTAAGTTAGTTTATGTATGTCTTAGGTAAAAATAGTTCTCAGAATTTTTTCAATCACACTTGAAATAAACTGAAAATTTTATTTTTATAACCTGCAAAATTTTCTCTGAAAAGTCCACTTCCCTGTTGATTAGAATCCAATTATTGTGATTTTATGTGAAAGCTGGCTACAGATGCTAATCAATGCCTATTTTTTAAACCTACAAGTACAAATATATACCCCATCCTAAACAGCTATAACCTGAAGTTTTGTATAAGTCTTAATACAGTATATTAACTCTCCAATCTATAGCTCAGTTCATCAGTTAAAACAGTAGTAACAAATCCTTTCCAGGTACAAGTAGAAACTACTTAAACTACAGTTTTACTCACCAAATAACCGCCAAACCAACGTTAAGTCAATTCAGTTTGATACCCAACAAGGTAAAACTTTTGAAGTCACAAGACAATAAGAAACACTGTACACAAGACTTCACATGTGCTCACCTAGACACAAAATTTTAATAATAAAAATAATGTGCTCAGAAACCTGGTGTTCCAAAATGTTTTTATAGTTGTCAATTGAAAAAAAAGTTAACCCACACACCATATTTCAATGGATAAGAAAGCACCTCAAATGGTGCCTTTTCACCCAATATACTTTTATAAGGATGAGTGAGCAATATGCTAAATGAATAAAAAGATGATGAATCAAAAACTCCAAGTTCAAATGAGAAGTCTTAACTCTCTCATCAGTATGTCACTAGGACTGTTCTGGTAAGTTGAAAACTTTCCAAGCCAAAAAAAAAAAAAAAAAGTACCTCCATGAAAAACAGGTGGATTTTGAGCAACAGAACACTGATTTAAAACAAAACAAAACAATCAAACTACACTTATTGTATTTTAAACCTGAGAAACACACTAGGAACACAAATTCAGCTTACTAAAATACTTGATAAAAAAAAAAATCAATCTTCATTCCTCCTCCTTCCCAAGAAAATTAAATCAAAATCAAAACTGTTACCACTGCTTTTACTAGAGAAAACAAAATGCTATTCTTACAAGGTTTAGGTGTTCCCATAACCTGACCAGACACCATTAGCTTCTTTATTTAAAAAAATAAATGACTAAAAAAATCTCCAAGAAAACACAGCAATCCTCAGTGCATTTTTAAAGAGGCAATGATGAGTTTTGTAAATCCTATCTTAAAAATGGAGTACTGCAACCTTTGTAATAAGTTTACCAAAGCAAGATATGGAAATCCACTGAAAATTCTTGTCAAATATCTATGAAACTAGAAATTAATTTCAAATATTACAGTTAATCTTGGCGTTTAGATCAAACTCATTCCACTTCAGCCAAGTACTGAATGAAAATTTACCTAAATCACTACTTTAAAACCAGCAAAATTTGCAGTGTGGAAAGGAATACGTTCTTCAGTCTCCACCAGATTTATTGTACCTAAAGCACGTTTGCTTACTTCAACAGCTGTGAGCAGTATTCAACAACTTACATTAAATCACAAGATATATATACAGGAACGTTAGATGCTCTATGTCCAAAACGAAAACAAAAGCTACCAAAACTATGCTATCTATGTCTTCACAATCGACACTCATTCTAAGCTGGCTCAAACTTTAGAATCATTACAGCAGCCCCGACCAAAAAAACAAGAAAAACCAGTAACTGTAAGTCAGAAAGTTACAAACGACTCATAGTATCACGGTACTGCAAACATCTCAGAGGCTCGCAGCAGAACAACTTTAATTCCCCAACACATATATTCACAGAAACAACCGCAGTTTAGGAGAAAACGTTATGAAAAATACAACTCTACTGAAGTAACCTTTACTTTCCATTCACAATACTAACGTGATCGATTTATAACTGCAAAGCAGTTTTTAGCCATTACTAAAACAATCACTTCGAAAACCCATAAAACTAAGAAAAATATTTTCAACCATTGAACAAACCCTATCGCCAAAGTAAACAGAAAAACTTCTGGTGGCCAAGTCCCATCCGGCAGTAATTACTACAGATGAAAACCAACATTTTTTTTTAATTTTCATCGCCCACCAATAACAGTTTTTAATTGAACAAGGGGCAGACCACGAGATGTAGCAAAATTCGTAAATGCCTGCTAAAACTTCTGGTTTTAGGGCATTACAGGCTTTACACGTCTGCCAAATACTTGTTTTGGTAAACACGAGATGTGCCGCTAACCAACTATCAGCACACATCTAAAACCCTCCAACAGAAATGCTAGGTCTGGATATAAGAAAAGCAAAAAACCAAAAAAAGCAAAAAAAAAAAGTCTTGCCAGGGTTCCGCCGTGGCTGAATAGCCTGCTTGTGAAATGCTAATGCCACTTCGGAGCAGTTAGTCACCAGCTATTGTGTAGGGCAGGAGAAAGCCGAGCCGTCCGCGCGTGCAGAGGGAGCGAGCGAGCAAGCGAGCGAGCGCGCCGCCCTCCCTCCTCGCGCCGCTCGCGCCGCTCGCGCCGCTCCCGCCGCCGCCGCCTCGCGCGCGCCCCCGCGCTCGCGCGGCCGCGCGCGCCGGCCCCTCCTCCTCCGGCCTTGCACTGCACAACACTCATGACGTATCTTTATTTCTAGCACATTAACAAAATACCACAAATAAATTGTCCGTGGTCCCCGCGGCTCTGGGGTGCGGGTCCCCCCGGCCGCTGCCCCCCGCAGCCCCCGCACCGGCCCCTCAACCTTCCCCGTGGCCTTTGGAGTTTTCACGTTCTAGGGCCAAGTTTTTGTCTCTGTAAAAAATTGCGGGAAATTCAATTTTTATTCGACTCAGGGAAAAGTTTCTTTGCTGTGCGCCGTGAATGTCTCACCAGATTCTGGTAGGTCCTGGGATGCTCCTTGCCGGTCCAGTCGGTGCGCCGGGGCAGCAGCTGCGGGGAGAGGACGCCCCGTGAGCCCGGCCCCCGGCCCCGGCCCGCCCGCTCCCCTCCCCCGCCCGCCCCGCGCCCCGCCGGGGACCCCAAGCCCCGCGTCCCGCGCCCCGGCCGCGCCGGCGGCGGCGGCGCGGCGGCCCAGGGGCTGCAGTGCGGGGGCCCCGCTCGCCGGGCCGCCGCCGCCCTTACCTCCTTCTCGGCCACCTCGCGGATCAGCACCTGCAACAACAAAGCGGGGAGAGCTGAGCCCCGCGCCCCGGGCCGCGGCCCCGCCGCCGCCGCCGCCTCCCTCCCCCACGCCCGCGTTCGGCGAGCGCCGGCCCGGCCCGCGCCGCGCGCCGCCGTACCTGAGCCGCCTGCTGACAGGGTCCATCTTCCAGGAACCGGGCGATGAGGAAGTAGAGCTCTGCGCGGGAGAGAGGGACGGGGAGACACACAGGCTGAGCGGCCGGGCGGCGGGGGGCGGGGGACCGCGGGCGGAATCGCCCGGTGCCAGCGGCCCCGGCAGCCCCCCGACTTACCCGATCGCAGCTCCGAGAGGCCTTTCCTCTCACAAGACATGTTTATGGGTCACTTCAGGGCCGCCGGCGGGACACCCCGCCGCCGAGGGGAAGCGGGGATGGTGCCGCCGCCTGCCCTATAGCTGTCAGTGTGTGTTCACGAGCCGAGCCTCGGCTCCACCATTCAAGCAACGGCGGCGGAGGCGGAGGAGGAGGAGGAGGAAACAACAACTCTCAGGCAGCGGCTACGGCTGTAGCCGCCTCCGCCGCGGATCCTTCCGCCACAGAAAGGAGTCCGCCGCCTTCGCGGCCCCGGGCTCGCCCCGTCCTCGTCCTGCGCCCCCGCCCCCCGGCGCAAGAGGGGAGGGAAAGAAAAAAAAAAAAAGAGTGCCTCGGAGCGAGCTCTCTGCGCCCCGCACCCTGCACGGCGCGACCCCCGACCCCTCCTCGCCCGCCGCGGGTGCGATTTATTTATTTATTTCCAGTCGGAGAAGATGTCGGAGCCGAAGCCGCCGGTTGGCTGGAAGGCGCTTTCTCTGTGGAGGCCGACCGCGGGAGGGAGGGGGCCGAGGACGGCTTCGCGGAGGGATCTGACGCACAGGCAGCCGCAGCACAGGCTCTATTCAGCGGCGCTGGCTGGGGCTGAGATGGAAGTTAGTTTCTATGTAGCAGAAATAGGAAACAAATGAAGCAAAACTGCCCAAAGAGGGGAAATGCCCCGAGGATGGGTCTCACTCTCACGCGCGCACACAGGCACACGCAGAGCACTCTCACGCTGGGCAAACTCGGGACCGCGCCAGCCTGCCCGAGTTGAATGATAGTGTTTGCTTTCTGTCTCTTGCCATGTGCAAGTGTATAAATGCTGCGGATTGGCATCTGTGTAAGTCTTGTCCTGCGTTTTTTCTGCAGCCTGTGCAAGTGTGTAATTTATCGGAGTGCCGTGTATTGCAATAGTGGTTCGGGCTGCTTTTTTTTGTGAAGCGCTTGGCGTTTTGCAAACCCGTTATTTGCTGAAGCCACCTCTGCATATTTCTTTTATTACTGCCATCGCCTTAAGCGAACGTTTTTAAAAATGTGTGTGTGTTGTGTGTTTCTTTTATTGTTAAATGGGCAAAGCGAACTCCTGATTTGTACTTCACATACTCTTTTTCCTGATTACCAAAAGGCTAGTGATGGCTAATTAGGGATTTGGGATTGAAGATCCTTAAAGCTTTTATAAGTGTTTACAAGAACGGATAATGTAAACCTGCGGGAGAGGAAAAGAGGTTAATATTTATCTCTAACTGATCTGGAGGTAATTTAGTGACAGATCGATAACCTACCTAAGGACATTGAAAGAGTATACTACAGTTTAGCTAAGGTGATTAGTGATTAAATAATTTAAATTATCTGTGTATCTTGCAGTTGCAGTTCACTTCGTCATGCTAATTAATGGCTACTAATTTGAGGTGTAAACCATTCCTGTTTACAGTTAATGATGAGAAGACTTCTTGAAAGAAAACTGACGAAAAAAGAAAAAAATTAATCTTTGGTAAATTAGTATGTAATGACCGGCTTTGTATACTAAATCATACATCTGTGTTTTGCTGATGAGGATAAGGGCCTTGTTTAAAAAAAAAAAAAAACGAATATGGGTGAAACTAATGGAAACAATGGAAAAAGCCATTTGTTAGAAAACAAGGACACCAAGTGATATTTATCTCCAGATGATTTTAAGCACTTTCCAAAAAGACTTGAGAGTTCCGGTTGTTTTTTTTTTTTTTTTTTTTAAGGATTGCATTTTAAAGGGAAGCAGGATAGACGTTCTTTTGTTAACATTTAACAAAAGATCCTCCCTTAAAATTTTAGATAATAAACTTCATTTTATGGATCTAGTTTTAAAAGATTATTTGTGGGGAAAGGACCCAGAAGCCGTGCTGTGGTTTTCTGGATTGTTTCCTCAAGCCTAGTTCCCTCCTAGCTCCTTACATTCCTAGTGGGAAATGCTGCAACTGCCTAGGGCTGCACTGCAAGATTGCACGGGCGTGATACCCTGTTCTAAAACATCCAGAAATCATCACACATGTAAGAAGAAGAAGAAAAAAAAAAGCTTCAACCCTTTTGGAATAATAAGATGTAAAATTGCCTTTTGTAACTCCATCTTAATAGAATAAAAATGGGACATCACTCATGATTTGTCCTATTACAGCTGAGTTATCAGAATAACTGCTATTTATTGACATGGCTACTCTCAAATACTGGAAATATTTGTACCTTTAAGGACATTTAATTCTGGTCTAACTATATCCGGAAAATAGCTTGCTCCTAGATGGTTAGGCTTGAAAAAAAACAGTATTCTATATGCTTCTTTTGCAATTATGTTTCTGTCCATGACTGAGACTATTTTAACTTTTTAGAAAGTATTATGTTTTCAATTAATTGTGATAGTTTACATTATCAAGATATTCTTCAAAAAACATATTTTAGGAATGAAAATTTATTGCTGGGATTTTCTGGATTTGAGTTGTTTATATTAGTCTAATCCTTACTAATAGATGTTTTATCCTTGTGAAGGAAAATAGACCAAATTGTAAGGTGGAATATAAAATTATGCTGGGAAAAGTTCTCCATATAGATCCTGTGGATGTTATGTCAACATAGAAGGCTAGTATGATTATCTCATGTATGCTTTTCATTTAGAAGCCACAAAAGCTTTTTCCTAAGTATGCTAATACCGAGCTTCTAAAAAAATGTTAAGGAAAATTCCCCTTCTAAGTTTTCTGAACATGATGTTCCTATGATTTTGACTAAACTTTGAGAGTATTTATAATTTCTCTTTCAAGTATATAATTTGAAGATAATTGTTAACTCTGCCCTTGAACTAATAAATATAAGTCTAAGAAAGCACATCTTACCTGCTAAAAATTAAAACTTCTTTTCAGCCAAATAAACTGTTGCTTTTAAGCAGGGGGTGTTAAAATGAATTTTACTAAGTTCTCCAAATGTAACACATACCCCATGTAACCTTTTAAGTTCTTTAAACATAAAACACATTTCTGAAATCTGGCATTATCAGTTAGCTGTAGTGTTAATGAAGTTGTTTATTATGCATGCGTATACAAATAGTCTGTACATATCAAATAGAAGAAAATCTTGTTTGGAAGTGCTACATTTTAGTTACCAAAGCAGAGACTGTTGCAATTCTTTCTCAGCTATCTCTTTTGCATAGAAGGATGGTTCCAATTCCATTTATATCCTTTTTTCTTTGTTTAACTTTTTCATGGAGTTCAAAAATAAAATGTCAATTTTAAAAATGCCCATGACCTTTAAATAAAAAGGCTAATGAAAATCAGTAAAAGTTTGGAAAGCCAACAACTAATGTCTTTATTCAATACGTTCTCTTTAGGACAATCATAAACTTTTCTCGAAAACATAAAAGGTTCTATGAAAATCTGTTCTTTTCACTTGGTATCGCATGAAACAGGCTAACACTGGACAAATCTTTGACAAAATATAGAGACGCTGTTTGAATAAAATAATCAAATGTTGCAATTCAAGTCCTTTATGGTGCAATAAGGAATAGTATTTATAAATTTTAAAATTCTTCCACATTTATGAAATTTTGTTTCCACTAGAATGGTGAAAATACATAATTCAAAAATACCTCTACAGATATAACTCTTTATACATTAAATCTTATTTTTGTTTTGATGTAATGCTTCTTTTATAGGAAAAGCTTTAGCCTATGACATACATAAATAGAAAAACAGAAAACACTTTGGTCAAAAAAAGACCTTTCTAAAAATACCCATCTGTCCTAACAACAGACTACAACCGCCCAAAAGGTCTTATTTAATAAACCACCCTCCTCTTGTGCTATTCTCCCCAGTTTTGTGTGTTTCTACATATCAGTTTAACTACTCTCTCAACACACACACATCCTTCTTGCATCACAAAGCACGAATATTTATCAAATTTGAAGCACACACAAGCCTCATAGATGAGGCTACTTCAGAAAGTCTGTGGAAAATGGAATTAAGAGAAAATTTTGTTTAGGTGCATAAAAGTTTGGAATCCTTGCATAGAAGGAGTCTTCAAAAACTGCATAGAGAATGTATATGAATTTAAAAAAAAAACAGATTTTAAAAGTTTTGAGCCAAAATAAATTTTTAAATTCATTTTCCATGAACTTTTTGAAGTACCTTTGTACTATTTGGTGGCTACAGAAAGAATAAAGAAAACCAATATTAGTAAGCATTCCATTATTTAACAATTTTTTGTGATTTAACATTGTTAGCATTTATTTATAGCGCACTAAGAAACCTTTCTACTTAAATTTCCTTTTACTCTGTAACAAAAATTAGCTGGCTCCAACAATCATATTCCTATGTATTTAAGTGTGTTGTTAATAATTCACTCAACCTTTCCTTCCTCCAAGTTAAATAATCTGGTGGCTTAGATTTTTTTCATAGGTCTTAATTTGCAAAAGAAGTACACATCTTCATGAATTTATTTATATATTTTAATCATTTCATGAGTTTAACAGTACAATTACTAAGATTAAAGGAGAAAAACCATTTTAGAACATATTCCCCCAAGATTTGCAGCAGCACAGTGGATGAAGAAGAAAAAGCTGATCCAGATGGCAGGAAACATAAAGGAGAAGTCTGTAGGCATGTTCTATCATAGGAAGATGTTTGATGGACTGGGAGTGAGCTGAGCTGAAGAGAGAACAGGTAGACCTAGGCAACAGGGATACAGGTTCTGTGGAAAGCTGCTGCTGGTACTATTTTAAATAAAACATACTATTAGATGTGTGGTTTTAAGTTAGGATTTGAGGACAGGAGTTATGTAGGCACTTGCCTTTATGTGTACCTGAATTGATAAATTATAAGAATCTCAAAGAGGAAGGATAGTTTTGGTTATGGAAAGGGAAGAGTGAAGATTATCTGACAAATAGTGAGAAACCTCTAGATACTGAAACACTGGGAATCAAGGAAACCAAAGTAGACACTGTCAGTGGGGAAGAAACGTCAAAATGTCCAACAAGTTTGACTTGGGACTCACATTAAGTAAGGTCCAACTCATAACTCAGAATGAATCCAACCTAGATTTAAATTGACTTTAACCAACAATTGCCTTTATATTTTCTGAATTCCGGAGGAGACCTAATTGCACAACCTTATTTTTAAATTGATTTTGTTTTTCTTCTATGCTTGGCAAAAATCTTCCATATCTTTTTCTTTCCTGTAGTGGAAATACTCATGTGCGTTTAT